ACCAGGGAAAGAAGAGGGAGGTCATATAGCAACATATTCCCCATCCTATTTGGTTTTTTTGTTGCTGTGATAGATTCCATGATCAAATACCACTAGGGGGAGGGAAGGGTTTATTTCATTTTACAGATTACAGTTCATCATTAAGGAAAGTCAGGCCACAGACTCAAGACAGGATATTGAAACAGAAACATTGAAATGCTGCTTACTGGCTTGCTCAGATACCTTTCTTATGTACTGAATACCAATCTGCTTAGGGACAGAATTTCCCACAGTGGAGTGGACCCACCCTGCCCTTTATCAATTAGTAATCAGGAAAAATCTCTACAAATATGCACACAGGCCAATATGATCAATTTCCCCACTCGAAACTCCATAAGGTAACTGGTCTGTGTCAGGTAGAGAAATGAGGCTAACTAGAAGATATCCTGGTTCTTTCAATATCCTCTGTTGATGTCTCCTCTTGACCATCCTATATTTCTTTTCCATACTGTGTTAACATGGAGGATGTTCTAATCTGATAATCTTTTGAAGTTTTCACTTGATCTTTTGTGTGTCCATGTCTTGTGTTTGCAATGAAAAATATATTCTTTTAGGAATTGGATAAGGTTGTGATGGAATAAAATACATGTTTAGGGAACATGGCAAATTCAAGGGTATGTAAGCCATTGGTCTAGGGAGGACTTTTGCTTCCAAAGGAAGTAGGTAATGTTAAAATGGTGAATCAGAAGAAGCACTAACACAAGAAACTCAAGAAGCAGGTAAGTGTGATGTGCATAAAGGCATGCAAAGTGATAAATGGAACTGGAATTCAGATAGATTAGGTAAAGCTGACAAGTTACCAGTCAGGGTGAGTGTTCATTTCCGTCCCTTCTTTGCAAACCACACTCTTTACTTTTTGTGTGAGATAGTGTTTACCCTTTCCTGTTATCTCTTTATGAATTTCTGGTTGGTGATACTGATAATTTATCATGGTAGGGTCTTCAACATGTACAGAAGAGGCCCTCTGCTAAAAAAAATACCCACCATCATTAAACCTAAGAAGCCAATGAAATTTCCTACAGGTTCAAAAGCTTTGATCTTTACCTAGTCAGAAAACAGTAAATGTTGTCCTTTAACAGATAACATACCATGGACCTCTGCACACATAGGAGAGTAGAATGACTACCCCGTTATTTCCAGAGATAACCTTGTTCTCTGTGGTGAAATCTGGCCTGAGATACCTGTGGACAGCAGCCTGTACTTAGTGACTGAGATGAGCTAGCCATGCATCCATGCTCAAGTCTCTATAGTTTCCACTGATTTGCATATGCCCACAGCACAGCTCAGTTCCCTGAGTCCTTCTTAATAGACTGGTGCTGTAGTTAGTTGTAGTCAGGACACTGCAAACATGAAGACTCCCAATCAACTCCTGGGTTTCCTGATTCTCTGCCTCCCGGGTAAGGAAGAATAGCCCTGTGCATTCCAGTGCAGTCAGTGCTGCCTGGGTATATAGGAAAGTACTTAATGACACCATTAACCATGTGTATGCCCTTTTATATATTTCTGATTTCAGGTGTCCAATGTGACATCCACATGACCCAGAGTCCAGTTTCTCTGTCTGCCTTTATAGGAGACACTGTCACCATCACTTGCCGGATCAGTCAAGACATTGGTAGATATTTAGGCTGGTACCAGCAGAAAGTGGGGGAAAGCCCCAGGTTTCTGATCTATTATGCATCCAATTTACTCTCTGGTGTCCCAAAGAGGTTCAGTGGCAGTGGCTTTGGGGCAGAATACACTCTCACTATCAACAGCATGGAGCCTGAAGATGCTGGGACTTACTACTGTCAACAGTGTTTCAGTTACCCTCCACAGTGCTACAAAGTATAACAAAAACTACCAAGAGAGGCAGATGTTTGAGACATCTACACCCAACAGTGACACCCAACATTGACACCCAACAGTGACACCCAACAGTGACAGAGTGTCTAGTTGCCTACAAGGTTGCTCATATGCAACTAGGCTCTGGAGATTACAGAGTGGTTCTGGTTGGGGTTCCAGGGAGGGTGCTTTGTACTGTTACTTGCTTTTCATCTTTTTTATTATGAACAGTACAAACAGGGAACTTACTTTTCCAATCTCTTTCACCCAAGAACCTGCATTATGGTTTCAAAGTTCAACCTAACAAAGGAGAGTTCCACCAGCATACTCGAAGCTGTGATTGTTTTAATAGAAGAAAGTAGAGTTAAAACCTACAATATTTCATTTCTGACACTAGTCAGAAGTCAACACTAGAAGCAAGATTTCTTTTTAGTGCTGCCCTTAAAGCCATAGGCATCTTTTACTACCTGTACAGGCTGCTGCATCCTGTAGCCCTCACCCCCAGATGCTTGTGGGAAGCCAAGGTGGTAGATACTATTGATCTCAAGTTCCTTAACCAAAATTTCTTGATCATTCCATTGGTTGAAAAACAACTTCAGAGCCAAATATAATACTGACTAAGACATAATTAATCTATATACTAAAATATATAATAATGTTAAAGTATTGTTATTTTCAGTACTACTTCTTTTAGAACATATGAAGATTTCCTTGGAATCTGTAATTGCATTACCAAAGCTGTTCCATTAAATGTTTAGAAAAGAGGAGGAGGCAAAGGAGTTTAGATGGAAAGCAAAGGATTGTAGAAATGAGGATTAATTGTGAAATGAAAGCTTGAGAAATTTCTTAGAGTAATTCACCAGTACAGCACAACTCACCACCTCATGTGCTTTATTCTGAAGATTTAAAAACTAACAACTGATTTCTCTTAGGTCAGGTGTGTGTGTGTGTGTGTGTGTGTGTGTGTGTGTGTGTGTGTGTGTGTGTGTGTGAATGCAGAAAACTGATTGCATTTTTAAGATGCGAGGGCTTGGAACAGCTTTTATATGTGTGTCATAAATAAGAGCTGCTTAGAAAGTAAATCACTCACCAGAAAGCCCCCAACTTACTGGACAGAATGCTCATTTCTCCTAAGGTAAAGTCATAACCTGTGTTGTGCTCATCTACACAGCTGGAGTGTTTATTCAACATAAATTACTCCTCTGACTTCAGTGCTTTCATTTATGTTTTATTGTAAGGTTATGGCTGCCTTTATAGACTACAGAACAAACAAAACAATCTGAAACACAAATGTATGATCAACTTTTTCCATTTGATGAACATGCACTGAAGGGGATGTCTGTATGTGTTGGTATTAGTGAGCTGTGGGAACACTGGCATTGTTCTGTCAATAGGCTTATGGCAAACCTCATTTGGTGGAGCCTAAGGAGAAAGTGTAGTAGGGGCAAAGAGGGATAAATTTTGTGAATTCAAGAGTGAAATTCTACCCTTAGACTAAGCCGATGTTTTTTCTTAATGTGGCCCTGTGGGTACAAGCTGCTTGAGTGCACAAGAAAGGAAGAAAACGTTTCTGCAGCTGGAGGCCCAGCTAGTCCCTCCCCTACTACTTTGCATCTCCTTCCAGAACCTTCTGCTGTCTAGAGTTCATAACTGTGACTCAGAACTCTGCTTCAGAGAGAAAACAGAGTAAGTCATGAAAACTCCAGCCCTGCCTGTCTGTCTCCTTTTACTGTGGATCTCAAGTGAGTGGAAACCGCATAACTCTACATCTATGAAAAGTCTCTGAACATTATTGAATTCTATTACCAAGAAGCAAGTTTAAGGTGAAATGATCATAGTTCTGCCAGGAAGATGAGTGTGGTCTAGACTGCACATGTGATTTTTCTTGTTCCTTTCAATTTTCAGATGTCACTGGAGAAACTACAACACAGTCTCCTCCCTCCCTGAGTTTTTCTCCAGGTGAAACAGCAACTCTGACATGCATATCAAGTCAGAGTGTTGGCATTTATTTAGCTTGGTACCAGCAGAAACCAGGGCAGGTTCCCAGGCTCCTTATCCATAGTGCATCCACCAGGGCCAGTGATGTCCCAGTCCGGTTCAGTGGCAGTGGATCTGGGACAGACTTCACTCTCACCATCAGTACCCTGGAACCTGAGGATGTTGCCACTTACTATTGTCAGCCAATGAGTGGTTGGTCATCCACAGTGATTCAACATGTGACAAAAACCTCAAGGAGACCACAATGTTTTTGAGTGTACCAACTGCTTCTCTTATTGGTAGCTTATGTGAGATGATTTTCAGTACTTCCAGGGTAAGTTTTGTATTCTGATTTAGGGGAGATCTCAGCCTGTTTCAAGGGCAATTTTGGTACCACTGGCCTCAGAGAATAGTATAAAGGTGAACAGCTCTAAAGATTTTTGTACTCTATTCTGTTCTGGGAGAATACCACCACCATCAACAGCAACACAAGACTTGAAAAGGTGGCACTCAAATTATTATTCCTTTTTTTTACAAGCTCAGTTTTGTGGAGCTCACTTGGTAGCCCAGGCTGGCCTCGAACTCACAGAGATCCGCCTGGCTCTGCCTCCCGAGTGCTGAGATTAAAGGCGTGCGCCACCACCGCCCGGCTTTATTTGTCTACATTCAGCGGAATTCAAATGTTCTGCCTGAATGATCTAGACATGTCAAAACAAAACAAAAACAAAACAAACCACTCTCACTGGTTTTTAAAATAAAATTTTCACTTATAAAACTGAAACACCAAAGTATTAAAATAAAGCCAGCTCATTTAACTCACTTCAAAAAGCAGTAACAGATGCCGTATCCCTTCTGCAACCCTTTAAGGACGCCCTATGGCACTCACACCGGGCAGAGACAGAGAGCGGGATACCGCAAGGCAACAACTCCAACACTACTCAGACAAGGTGTAATGGCAACTAACAAACCACTGAAGACACGGAGTCCCAAACACAGCTAAACAGGGATCACGGCACGGGTCTCAGGGACCACCACACTTCACAGCCTGGCGACATCGGCCGCATGGACGGGTGGGCGCTGCGCTGGTGGACACAGCGACTGTGAGGTGCCAACAGTCTCCCGAGACGAGTTGGAGGCAGAGAGGCGGTGCAGAAGGTGGGAGGGAGGGAGGGCAGCCTGGGCCTTTATCTGTACTGGTAGTTCATGCTGTGCTCTGTGTTCCGACTGTAGCCACCTTGTGAGGACTGGTAGGAGCTGGAAGGGCCACTGTAGCTCTGGCTGGACCCAGAGGAACTGTAGTTCGACTGTGATGAGTAGCCTCCTGGTTTGCCTTGGCATGAAGAGCTGCCCCCAGAACCTCCGCTGTAACCCCCATGTGAACCCGTGTTGTAGGAGGACCCACTGGAGCCACAGCTGTTCATGCCACTGCGGCCTCCACTACCACTGTAGTTGAATTTGTTGTCATAGCTGTAGTCGGAGCCCTTCCCACCACCACCACCAGGGGAGCTGTAGGGTTGGAGTAGGAGGAATAGCTGCCCTGCCCATGGCCTTAGCCTTTCTGCTTGCCCCGCTGCATGCCATAGCTGCTGCACTGGCTCTGGTTGTAGGGTTGCTGCTGGCCCTGGTGGGACTGGTAACCCGAGCTGTAGGAGGGTTTCTGCTGACCCCCATGCAGCGGCTTCTTCCCAGCATGTTTCGGGGGCACTGGTGAGCTGTAGCGGTCTCCTTGGTAGTAGGAGCTGTAGCTGGACGAGCCACCACCGCCCCCACTGCCTCCACCACCGGCATTCCCAGAATGCCCTCCATTGCTGTAGAACTGACACTTACTGCAGCCTGCCGTGGTCGAATTGCTGCCGTACCCATAGCTTCCATATCCGGTATTTATGTAGCCTCCTCCATGGTTGGCGCCACCAAATCCTTGCCCTCGTCCTCGCCCACGGATGTTCCCTCCTCGACCCAGGCCTCGAAGGTTGGGAGGCGGGGACACCTCGTTATGCATGGGGCCTCCCATGCCAAAGCCAGGGTTGTGTGGCTTGGCAGCAAATTTGGGTCCACCTCGGACAGGTACAGGGGTTCTTTTTGTTGTTGTTGTTGGCTTCAAGGGCAAGGGGGGCATCAAGAAAAAGCTTTTCTAACTCAGCAAGAGCAGCATAAGCCTTTGCCACCTTTTTGTTTGAACCAGCACCTTGAAACTTCTGACTATCCACTTCAACCTCCATAACAAACAGTTTGTCGTGGCTGCCCCCAGTCTCAGAAATTAGCTCGTATTTGAGACCATGCCTCTTCTCATTAAGCTCCATAACTGGGTTCTTGCCATGCTTAGCCAATATCGGCCCCTGCTCAGTCGTGGCATCTGAAGGGAAGACAGAACTGGAGTTGTAGACAGCTTCTACCACAGGGGTTGGGGCCACTATGGCTGGCTTCCCATCTGACTCCTCGGCTGAGTCCTCCCCTTTTCTGGAGTCTCTGCCTTCAGCGCCTGTTGGCAAGCCCATGTCCTGTAACCACCTTTACAGCCACATGTAGTTTGGCAGTCTTTTTAGATGGCCCTGAGGCCTCGAAGGTACTGCCATCTACCTCCACAGACATGGTGAAGATGGGGGCATGAACAGGACCTGTCTGGGAGATCAGCTTGTACTGCAGCCCTGGCTTCAGCTGGTTCAGCCTCATCAGGGCATTCATAGCTTGGGGAGGTTCAGCCTTCTCCTCTTTCTTCTGGATCTTCTTTTTCTTTTTGCTGGGAGACTTCTCCCCATCCTCTTCCATTGGGGCGTTTCATGGGTGTGATGGTGTAGGTGGTGCTGGGGGGAATTTGAACAGTGTAGTCCACTAGGTTCTTGTTCTTTGGTTTCTTGGGCATTTTGGAAGGCAGGGGGTCCATTCCTAGGACTTTATGGAGTTGACCAAAAGCAGCGAGCCACAGAGCATGCTGCACACTCTGTGTGATATCTCCCCATTGCTGTGTGTCTAGATGCCCAATAGCATCAGTGGCTTCTTTTTCACAAGGGTCATAAATGCCAGAACCATCTGGCATGACGATGCCGGAGGCCAGGCACTCCAGCACTCTTCGCAGGGCTTCGCCAGCACCCATGGGCCTATTGGCAGTGCCGATGGACTTCTCACACAGCAGCTCCAGCGGTCATCCTCTGAGGGGACCCCAGGAGGGCCCTCAGGTACACAAGTCCCTTAGGACACAGATGACAATGACACATGACTTCAGCCCATTGGCTCTGGCCTGGAACCACTTGGTGTGTCGGAGGGACGCCAAGGCAGCAAGGCTTTTCTGCCTGTCCAGAACGTCTGGGGGGTCGTTGACTGACAGCGTTTCTCCAGCTAATATTTACTCTATTTCTTCTCTGACAACGGGGAGGTCAGGTGGATGGTCAAGGACAATGGGGATTCTTTTGTGTTTTTTATCACAATCTCAGCATCATCCACAGACTGGAGTATTTTGTACTTGTCTTCTGTCACACTCCAGTCCCTTCTTTGCTCTCATCGTCTGGGGGCGTATCCATATTTTCTGCCTCAGCGAGCTCGCTGCCGCCTTTATCCTGCTCATCAATCCAGTCAGAGACAGCCTTGAGGGCCTGCTCAGTGTGAAATATCATATTCTGTAAGGCCTCTAGCTCCTCTTGCATTGGGAACACTGAAGAATGCTTTGCCATCAAATGGCGATTATCGTTCACAAAAATTCTCATGGGATGCCTGCTTCTTCTTGTGATGAAGTGATGATGGTACAATGCCATTTTTCCTTCCTTTTTCATGTAGTGTCTGGAAATCAGTCTTGGATTATCTTTTCAAATTGTGACAGCTTTCCTTGGTGTTACCAATATTTCAACTATAAATGGCTGGATCACAGCAGGACACATCTGTCTTCCCAGGTAGCCAAGCAACTCACTCCAATTTCCCTTCACAGGAAGACAGCAGGATTCCAGAAGACCTATCTGAATCCAGCCACACACTGAGGGGGTTTCTGTTTGCCCGTGTTTCATTTCTTCCTATGTAGCATGCCAAGTTCTGCTCTCAGCATCTCCCTCCAGTTCCACGGGACCTGACATCCTTCTTATGGACTCCACAGTACCTTTAAACCAGCAACCCAGGAGGCAAGAGCAGATGGGTAGCTCAATTTCAGGTCAGCTTGCCTACAAAGCAGGGTCCAGATCAGCCAGAGCTACACAGTGAAATCCTTGTTGGCGTTCCATCTCCTCAACCTCAGGCACCGCTGCCCTCCTACCACCAGCCTTCTGGAACCTTCACAACCCACCTCAAAAAAAAAAAAGGGCTACACAGTTTTCACCAGGGCTGCTCCAGTCTCAACTGCAATGTCGAGAAGAGGCACTCAAATTATAATGACTAGCATCCAAATGGACTTTGTTTAGAGAAAATTCAAATACTCCACCAAAAATTATAGGTAAGAAGAGTGAAGAAAATACATTTGTTTCAAATTTGAAAATCAATTTGGTTTATCCATAACTGAAAAAAATTATGAAATTTAAATTATAAATCACCTGTTTGTTTTGCCTTCTATTGCTGTGATACAGACCATGACTAAAACAAACAAATAAAAAAGCAACTCTGAGAGGAACTGGTTTATTTGACTCTCACTGAGCTAAAAAAAAAAGCACAGGCTGTGGAAGAACACTGCTTACTGTCTATATCATCATGATTTCTTCATCCTGTTCTATTACACAACATGGGACCACCTGCCCTGGGTATCACTATCCACAGTGGAATGGACCTTACCATATCAATCATTAATCAAGAAAATACCCCTATAGACTTGCCTACTACCCCAATTTGTGGGAGTGTATTTTTTCAATTGAGGTTCCCTCTTCTCAAATTTGTCAAGTTGGCAAAAAGTAACCAGCAAAAACAAAAACAAAAACAAAAACAAACCAAAACAAAACAAAAAACCCCAAAAAACAAAAAAAATAAAGAAAAAACAAAACAAAACAAAAAACAAAAAAACCCAAAACCTATACCTTTAAATAAATTGTCAATTATTTAGAATAAATTTATGGTGTATGACATCATATTTGCAAGTTGCTATAAGCAGAGTATTTTTTTTTGCTAAACTGTTCTATTTTTCCAATAAAGACTTGGGAGTCAGATGTTGGGGTAAAAACCTGCCAAATCAGAGAAGCTGAGAAGCAAACAGCCGACCTTCCTTTTTTGGCCATAGACCCAGCAAGAGAATATTTTCCCCATGCATCCCAATCAAAAAAGACTGTGGTTCCCTAAGTCCCTCCCTATCCTTCCTGTATATCTCTCTATCTATATTTCTGGCCCCTCCATTCTCTCTATGGCTATTTCCTATCAATTAGTCACTGCTTTGGCCCTGATCCAAAGTTAATTTTGTTAACATAGTCTCAGAGTTTCAGAGTGTGATCAAATAACCTGCAATATTTGCCCCCTTTTTGTCTACATAAAAAGGAAAGACTTTAACTCTAACACTGTAAAGCTATAAACAATAAAAACAATTATCAGATACAATCTAAATTAAAAGAAAGGTTTTAACACTAACACAGTAAAACTATATATAATAAGAAAAGATAAGAATTATATTTACAATGTCCAGCCTATTTGTATTTGGCAAATTTGGAGAAATTATTCTACTATCTGTCCTATCTTGGTGATTCCAGAGTTTTATACCTAAACCAGTTTCTAGCATAACTTGTATTACCAGCCTAAAAGTATCCTTTGGATCTTAAAATATTTTCTTAGATATACAGATTAAACTTCCATGTTTCTTGACCTTGTAAGTATTACATCTCTTTTACAAGTTTCTTTTCTAAACTTGAAAACAAAGAAAATGTTATAACTATCTAGTCTTCAACTCCCATCAAAGACCCAAGAAGGATAAACTATTACCTGAATAAACAGGAAGTACAGAGAAAATAACTTCTAAAATTGTGGAAAGGACAGAGACGGCTGGTTGGACAGTCACCTGTTTCCTATGCAACATTGGAGCATTGATCTTTGGCCTAGAATATCTGATTGACTATACTGTGAAGCAGGAATTTTGAAGAACTGGCATACCTTGTCTTGGCAAAGATCACCAGTCAGCTTCTTTTGTGTCCTGTTTGTCCAGTTTGGACAACATACTGTCAGCAGTCAAGGCAAGGTCAGTTTCTAGCCCAGTGGCTAACTTTGCCACATTGAAAACAAACTCTATATGGAGGTTCTTTGATGCCCATCATTCTTTTTTGAAGATTAGTGCTGCCAGGAGCAGACATGTCTCACTGTCATGAAAAACCTTACATTATTAAAGCATCTAAAATGCCATAATCTATAGCTTTCTGAAGTGTTGGAAGACAACCTATCTACTAAAATACATGATGCTAAATAAAGCTTATTTCTGCCTACATCTACACCCTTACTACAAGTTTGACTGTTATCTTAATTATCTTAAACTGTTTGTAATAGCAGCTTTCAAGGAGTAGAACTTTATATCACAGTTTTAAATGAATTGCATAGGTACAGTACCATGCATGTTGTAACAAAAATAACCTTAAATTTGTACCAAAATACAAAAATATATACCAATGTAAAATGTTTGAGACTATTAGTTGCTTTTCAGTCTGAAAGTATTCAATAATCTACCCTTTTATCCTGTTATTCCTATAACCCCCTTTTGTCTTTTCAGAAAGATAGCCCTGGATCTAACCTCTTTTGCTTAGTTTCCTCCCTAACCATGACCAATAACACCTTGCAACTAACCCCTCCAAACAGTGACAAACAGGCATAACCCACCAAATAACTAATAACCACCTATTCCCCTCTTGGGAACATGGACATTGTGTTCTTAAAATTACTTCCTGCTTTCTGGGCCTTAAAGCAACTTTAGGAGACCCGGAGAAAACTGCAATGATGGTCAAGTCTTGGCTGGGGCAGCCCATGAGGCTGAAACATCTTAGCTAACCATTTCAAACTTGTCCTGAGCATTTTGTAGTCCAAAGCTGATTTTTGGATGATATTTGTCAGCTTATCAGTGTTACCACAATCCAGGTGTTTTGTCATTTCCAGGACCCATGATCTTCTTAGAGTCTCAGAGGTTACTGCCAGGAATGATTATAGTTCACTATAGAAACCTCAAACATTTTAAATATTATACACAGCAGATCTCCAAGAGGTTAAAGGATCACAATCTGTTAAATACATCCAGGGTATACAAACTTAGTTGCTAGTTACCTGCTTCAAACTCAAACCCAAAAATGTCTATAGGAAGTTAATGAACCTTATTTCTAGAATTAGTACTCTTTATGACCACTAATATCAAAACAGAAAGTTATTTGTATGTATATATACATAATCTTATAAATTTTGATAGTATTGATTGCTTTCTTTCTCCTGTGGAAACAAAAGCAAATCCTCTTCCCCAATGTAACACTCCAATGTACTGCATATCCTTGTTTCCATTCTGAGATCAACACATCTTTAAAATATGCAGGATGGTTAAGTCAGCAGTTTTTTTATATTACCCAATTTCTCTTCACAGCTGTCATTCCTTTTTTTTTTGTTAGCATTAAAAGATTAAAGTTAATAAAGCATTGTGTAATATATCTCTAGGGGTCTTCATTACCCCTTTCTGTTTATTAAGTTTATCTTTAAAGTGCAATTGTCTTTCTAAAATTGCTTGTCTTGTAGAATTGTGTGATATACTTGTAATACGCTTTGTGTTGTAACATGCCATTTTAATATAAAGCACATTGCAGGTATATTAAGGAGGATAGGCCCATGCAGTTTCTCCTGTGTCAGAATCACACAGAAGAGGTTCTGTCCAATGTCCCTGTTGATTGTACTCATCCCAGTATGACACTGCAGTCCTGTCCTGTAAGTCTTCCTTCTGTAGGTTGCTCCAGTTTTCTATAATTGCATTGTATCCTTGGATTCCCCTCAAAAAATAAGTAAATATCATGTATTTTCAAATGCAGAAATGTCCTATCACTGAGTATGATGTGGTTTTCTAGTTCCCTGGAATCTGTAATTCAATTGAATAATACTTGACTGTTGTGGGATATTTGATTGCACTGTGAAACTTTGAGACTTTGTTAATATAAATTAATCTTGTATCAAGGGGTGGAGCCAGTGGCTAGTTGACAGGAATTAGCCATAGAGAGGATAGAGGAGCCAGGAAGAGAGAGAGAGAGAGAAAGGAAGGAGTAGGGAGGGACTTAGAGATCATAGTCTTTTTGATTTGGGATGAGTAGAGAGAGGCTCTTTTGCTGGGTCTCTGGCCAAAAAGGAAGGTTAGCTGGTTGCTTCTTGGCTTCTCTAATCTAGTCGGTTTTTACACCATCATCTGACTCCTGAGTCTTTATTGGCAAATAGAACTTAGCAAAAACCAACTTTCTGCACAGTTCCCCAAAGTTTCCTGGAGTGAGAACAGCAGGAAATATTAGATAGAAGGATTTAGAGTGTGGAGATAAATGGAAAATACAGGATAGCCTAGAGAGAGCCTGGAACCTATTCCAATGAGCCCTAACTATCTCTGCCCTAAGGTATTTACAGAAACACCAAGGGGTAGAGCAAAAGACCTCCACCCCCCAGGACAGCCAAGTGTAGACCATCTCAGACACCTGCACTCAGGCCCATGATCCTAATCATTTTCTATGCAGACCTGCTGGGTAAAGCCACTAGGAAGCAGAAATTGGGCTCCAACAGGTGTCCAATGTGCAGCACAAGATCACACTAGCCAGTACAGTAGTGCCACCACTCCTCCACACATGCAGTCACCACATCTGGCTGTTCTCCCACAGCCTCAAGTGTCACTGCCACAGATGACTGCCTCATATAGCTCCACCATCACCACTACTGCTGCTGTGGACAATTGAAAAGGTATCAGAAT